GCACCAGCTGAGCCATGTACACCACAGCCTACCTGAGTATTGTTGCTGACCATGTCCATCTCTTTATGAGCAGTGCGTACCCACTATGTTGTGAAAAAAGGCCTCCACAGACACCTGATCTCAGTCTAGTAGAGCACCTTTGGGATGTGGTAGAACAGGAGATTCACACAATGGTGTGCACGTGACAAATCTGCAGCAACTGTTTGGAATCGCTGGGATATATTTAAATTCTTAAGCAAACAGTAGCTACTTATTTAATGTAGTTCTGTGGCTTTGAGCTGAGACCTCAGAGTCCAAAGCTCGTGGAGAAAAGACTGTGGATTTATCTGATTCAAGAGTACCTCTGTGTGAGCAGTGATGCTTGAAAGTGCAGGCCATTGGGATTCACAGCGTTCTGATATACTGACAAAGGTTTTCTGTAATTTGCACAGATTTTTGTCACGGCGTGAGCCACACATGCTGCACAAACACAATCGCGGCAGCTTTAACGTCAGCAGGGCAGGGCAGCGTTACCTCTGGCTGTTGTGAATGCATTTCATTTCGTTTGAAGAATCTGTACTGTTTTGAATTGATACAGCACTCCGCTCACATCCCCCCTTTCAGCTGCCGCAGAGAGCCTTTCATCCGCGCCGACTGTTCAGAGCACCACCCCTCTGCACCCTGCAGCTACAGAAGGCAAAACCCCTCTGACCAACCATTCCCTCTCTACCTTTTCATCTCAGCCAGCCCCAGCAGTGCACCACACAAGCTCCACAGCACCCACCTTCACCACATGGCCACACTCTGAATCTCTGAATACAGCTACCGCATCTCCAGGTGGAGCCCCTGCTGGGTCGGTGTACAAGGAGGTCCAGTCTGTAAATAAATTTGGCGGTGAAGGTAAGGTGATTGGCAGGTGCTAAGTGTGATGAGGTGTTGCCTTAAGCTTCTCCCATTGAGTTGTTTTGCCTTTACCATGACCTATTTTATTTTTCTTCATATCATATCAAATTCTTTATCGTGTAGAGAGGTCCGGTCACCGTTCCAGCTCCCCTCTAGACCCTCTGCTGGCTGGTCTGCTGTCAGTGTTTATTGTCACCACAGCTATCGTCTTTGTCGTCCTCTTCCTCAAGTTCCGCCAGCGCACTAACCACCCGGAGTTCCATCGTCTGCAGGACCTGCCCATGGTAAGATACAGTCTAGTACCTTTGCATTACCATTTTCACCACTTTTTAAAAGAATCTCCATCTTAGAAGTCCCCAAACTTTATGAAAGTCAAATACCAAATAACTGCATCTTTTATTAAGCACCCTTCACTGTCAAGATGAACTTGGGTATTAGAATATTAACTGCAAGCAGAGATGACATATTGGAACGTGACTTGGCCGCTAGCTTATTTCTTGATCAGGGGTTACTCTTGAGATGTGGTTTAGCTGATTAAAAATATTCGAGAGCTTAGGTAAGAGAAACTGAAAATTCTTTTCATATATTTTATTAGATCCTCACTAGCCACTTCATTATTTACACCTTGCTAGCGGTTGGCTGGACCCCTGTGGCCTTCAGAACTGCTTTTATTCTTTGTTGTCTAGAGTCAACAAAACATTCCTGGAAACATGCCTCAGAGATCTTGGTCCATATTGTCATGACAACTGATAAACCTGCAGCTTTATCAGCTGTGCATCCATGATGTGAATCTCCAGTTTCACCACATCCCAAAGGTGCTTGATTGGACTGACATCTGATGACTGTAAAGGTCATCCGAGTACAGACAACTCATTGCCAAGATACCAGTTTGAAAGGATTTGAGCTTCGTGACATGATGTGTTGTGTGAAGCAGCCATCAGAAGATGAATATGCTCTGATCATAAAGGGATAGATATGGTCAACAACAGTATTCAGATAGTCTGTGACATTGTGCCAAGAAAACACCCCCAACACCATAACGCCACCAGCAGCAGCCTGAAACATTGATATAACGCACAATGGATCCCTCATGTTGTTTTCGACCATTTCTGACCCTACCATCCAAAATGTTGCAGCAGATATAGATTTATCAGGCCAGGCAACATGTCTCCACATTTTCTATTGTCCAACTTTGGTAAACCTGTATGAAATGTAGCCTCAGTTTCCATGTCTTAACCCACAGGGTACTCTTCTGCACACCTGGGTTGTAACAAGTGGTTTATTATAGTTTTTATTAGAGTTATTACAGTTAATGTTGCCCTTCTGTATGACTCAAGCAGCCTGGGCAGTCTCCTCTGACATCAACAAGATATCACCCAATGAACTGCCACTAACTGGATTTTTTTTCCTTTTTGGACCATTCTCTGTGAACTATAGAGATGCGTGTGTGGGAAAATTTCAGTAAATAAGCCGTTTCTGAAGGTCAGCCCACCCCATCTGGTGCCAACAACCATGCCACAGTCACAGTTTCTTAAATCACAGGTGTCGAACTCCAGGCCTCAAGGGCCGGTGTGCTGCAGGTTTTAGATGTGTCCTTGATCAAACACAGCTGATTAAAATGGCTAAATGACCTCCCCAACATGTCCTGAAGTTCTCCAGAGGCCTGGTAATGAACTAATCATTTGATTCAGGTGTGTTGACCCAGCGTGATATCTAAAACCTGCAGGACACCAGCCCTTGAGGCCTGGAGTTTGACACCCCTGCCCTAAA